TTGCGTGGGACACGCAAAAAGGATTACAAGTCTTTGCGCGTTGAAACCTGGAGACAAGCTAGACTCCTCCAAGAAAGCCTTGAGGTACGGTGCTACTCTAATTACAAAGAAGAGAGGGTGGCTGAGTGGAAGTTCAAAGAGCGTCGACGCCAAGCTAGTCAAAACACGGAATTTCTATGGCGACAACTACTTCTGTCGTTACCGAAGCCGTCTAAGAGAGCAAAGACGGGCGTATGTGATGTGATAATTGTGGGTGACACCAACGTACCTGAAGAGGTGGTCAAGATTCTGGAGAAAGGACCCAAGCTTGCATGTGAGACAAGCCTCAAGCCTCCGGAAGTGTTAACGCTAGTCAGAAATGTGGGAGATAGAGCGCAACAGGATGAGAAGGAACGATGGATTTTGGATGGGGTCGACACCCTCCCTCGAAGAAGGGCTGCCCCAAAAGGTCCTAACGCGGGGAGGTTGCATCCTTCTGCTTGGAAGAACGCCTCAAGTTGGTGTTGGCAGATAAGGAGGAGGGGTTCGATCGTCCTTGTACCCGAATGTGGTTTTTTGGTTAGGGGAAAGCAAGCTTTAAAGAAGAGTTTTAAGGAGGTGAAGAGGGTTTCACTTACAAAGATTGAAGACAAGGCTATTGAAATTATTCAAAACCTGAGTCTAGATAGATTCAAAGCGCCGGTCGTACGAGCTAAAGGTCTTCACCTGAGTATCTTTTTCTCAGTTAAAACACACAAGGAGGCTATGCCCTTTAGGGCGATAGTCACGCAGAGGGGGTCGTGGCAATCACAGGTGTCGGCGTACCTTCAACGACACCTGTCGCAGTTTCATTTATGTGATCCTTTTAGGGTCTTTAATTCCGAGAGTGTAGTGGAATTCCGACTTAAATCCCGGTACTTGTGACGCGGTTTCTTTCGACGTCGAAGACCTTTTTTTATTCTATCTCACATGAGGCACTTTTTGAGGCGGTTAGAGAAGCTATTGAAGCGTTTGGTGTTTTAAAGTTTCAAAATGAGTGTGGCGTGTATGAGGAGCGGTTTTTAGAATTGTTACGCTTCTGAGTTCCACCTATGTTGTTCATGAAGGAGTAAAGCTCATACAGAAGGAGGGTGTGTGCATTGGCACGAGTGTGGCACCCGTGTTGAGCGACCTGTTTTTAGCAAAGTGCGACAGAGATATAGAAAGACGGTTGGATAAAGAGTTTATTCGTGTTTTTAGGTATGTAGACGATTACTTGGTGTTTTTTCGTTCGAAGAAGGGCTCTGAAAGAGAAGACTTTATTTCAAAAATGTTAGAGTGTTTAGGGACAGTGAATAAGGGCTCAGTTTCACCAGTGAAAGTCCCGCGGATGATAGCTTACAGTTTTTAGATTTTAAGACTGTATTTTGGAATTCACATGTCTGTTGGAATTATTGCCCTACGGCTAAGAAGAGGGTGTTACCATTTTGATTCTAATCACTCAAAAGTAATTAAGAAAGGCATTGCCTCTACATGCCTGAGGGCTGCCTTAACGAAGTCTTGCCCAAATAAGAGAGAAGACAGCTTTAGGTTGCACGTATTGAAGCTTGAGGAAGGAGGCTTTCCACCTACGCTTCTTGTGGGGGTGGCAGAGGGTCTGATAAAAAAACTTCGGGGAGGATGTGATGCTTTAGGAGAGAAGCCAAGGCGTAGGCCAGTTGTAATATTTTATGTTCATAAGGTGAGCCACAATATAAAGAAAGTGGGGCAAAAACATGGGGTTCCCGTATTACTCTTAGCTCCTCAAAAACTGGCTAGATTGTGTGAAAAAATGGGACGAGGGGAGACACGCGTCGGTGTCTGTCAGAAGAAACATAAGACCAGGTATGTGGAGTGTAGCGAGGGCGGGGTTTACAAGATTCGTTTATCATGTTGCAAAGTATACATAGGCCAATCGGGACGTTGTATAAATGATAGGCTCAGGGAGCATGCGCTGTTAGTTCGATCGTCACCCTCGGGAAATCTGGCTGTGCACTGTGACAGATGTGGGTGTATCACGAAGTTTGACAACGCCATTATCTTGGCCCCAAATCGAAACAAAATGACACGGGAGATATCCGAAGCTTTTTTCATATCTGTGTGCCTTAAAAGAACGTGTGTCAGCGCTCCATCTATAGCCCTGTTTGGCTCTGAGGTGGCGTTTTTAAAATCTTTCGTTAAGTAGATAGCGGACAGACGAACACTGAATGGGTGATGTCGCATTTCTGTAGTACATGTCGCGATTTCACGGTGTATATATATGTGTGTTTCCTGAGAATAAACTTCAGTTGCAAGTATCGCTCTGTGTTGTTCGTTTCTTTTACTTGTCCGTCGCTTTTAGCGTTTTTAACCTCACACACAAAATCAGAAAGCGACGGTTTTTTGTGTTTTTTTTTTTTGTTTGTTTGTTTTGTTCTTTAATCAGCGAGTCACGCATCGGTGATTGTTTCAGAGCTGTGAGTGTAACTCCAGAAAAGAACCGCGGCATACGCTGCCAGAATGAGCCGGTATTTGACGCATGCAGTCTCTCCGGCCACCACTCCCGCGTTTTACTTAACGGTCGAGTACACTGTATCAGCTGTGATCAAGAACTTTCGATCGGAGTCTGTTAATTTAAAGGAGGCAAAGCATCGGGCAATGGACCTCTGTGACAACATGACACTGACCCAACTGGCTGGCAACATCAAAAAAGAAGGGTTACTCCTTCATGTTTTCTTCAGTGCCAAAACCCGTAAGGACGTCTGCGCGTTTCGTGCCATCGTTACTGAGCGAGAGACCTGGCTGCGCCAAGTGTTAGCCTACCTTCAAAGGCACCTGTCTGGTTTAAACTTCAACGATCCCTTCCTTGTGCGCAACTCTAAAACAATGGTTGAATCGCTGAGTTCTGAGAGGTACAGCAATCATGGTGTTTTCAACGTGAATGTTGGAGACCTTTCCTATAACCTTCCGCACCTTTCCTTGCTAGCCTCGGTTCAGTCACGTATTCAGGCAAACGGTAAGCTCCCCTTCTGACACGCTACCGGTATGCCTTTGTAAAGCTCTCTGGAGTTTTTATCGTTTAATCTCAGATCAATGTTCATTGGGTAGAAGGATGCCTTGTATCTGCAAAAACATGGCATTTGTATAAGGTCTTATGTTGCCCCTATTCTTACTGACATTTTTCTATCAAGGGTGGATCATGCTATTCACATCGCACTCAGCCGTCTTTTGGTACGGAAAGTTCTTATATACGTCGATGATTTTTTCATTGTGTATAAAAAGATGTAGAGAGTGACACTGTAAACCAGCTGTTCAAAACCTTTGGCTTAGGCCTCGAGTTTAAGTTTTAAAAAAACCCAAGAATGGCACCTTGCAATTTTTGTGTATTTCATATTCCGTCCAGCACAATCACCTCTGTTGGTCCTTTTCTCCCCGATCAAAGAAAAATATTCTTCCGTACACGTCCTCCCATTCAAAGTTCGTAAAAAGAGGCACAGAAATCGCCATTTTAGGATCGGCCCTGTTTATGTCCTATTACCACGCTGCCAAGGATAGTTGTGGGTCTCAGCTTGAACGCTTAAGCACGTCTGGGTTCCCCTCGCAAGTGCTTGTTGAGGTTTTGGAGTCCCTGTTACAGAACGTGAAGGGGATTCACAAAGACATACCTTATTTAAAGAGGAAGCGCCCGTTAGTGGTTCCCTACCTCCATAAATTTTCCTACGATATAAAACAACTTGCCAGCAGGTACGAGGTCCCGGTAGTGTTTTCTGTTCCCTACAGGATAGCCGAGATCTGTTCTAAAGTTGGTTCGGTTATTGACAATCACTCAACACGAGGTACCAAAAGCGTCACAAGCAACAGTTTGTTCCCCGCTCAGAGGGTGCTGCGTACAGGATCCCCTTAACTAGTGGTGGTTGGTATTTTGGACACACTGGACGATGTCTTAATGACCGACTCCGTGAACATTTCTATTCACTTCACGTTACAATGGGAGGCCTCCTGCCCTTACACTGCCTCACCTGTCAGTGCTCACCAACTTTTTCGGTGACAATAATATTAGGACGATAGCGAGATTGGCAAACTAGAGCAATTTTAAAAGCATATCACATCCAAAAATCAAACCAGCGTTGTGTGAGTCGCCCTTTACAATCTTTGAGTGAGAAGGAGGTAGACTTCCTAGCCAATGGATACAAGTGATCTTGGCCGGCCTGTACATTATGAAAATATCTTTTTTTTTCTCTCATTGTTGTCGTTTCTTTTTCTTCTTCTTTTTTCTTTTTAATAATGTATCTTTTCTTTGTTTACCTTGTGGATGCGCGTGGCTCTTATGTCTAGAGCTTCCTCTTTCTTTCTCTTTCACAATACATAAGTTTGAAATCAGCGCTCTATCCTGTATTTTATTTTCTTTCACCTGTGCTTGTGCATCTGTTTTAGGTATGGCTTCGCGTCCCTGTGGTTGAGGCCGGACTAGTACACCCCAGACATGTCAAATCCTTGCACTGGTACGCTCCTTTGGGGAAGGCGTCCTCACGGATCCTTCGGGTTCGCAAGCCAGCACAGCGAGTGATGGTCTTTGACCACTCCGAATGGACTTCCGTACAAGTAGGAACGAAACTTGGTTATCGCCCAGACCACCGGAAGGCATTGCTTCTTCCTTGTGGAGTGATTGCTTTCCACGCTACTGATTTTCGAAAGGGAGACGTGAAAGTGCTAAAATAAAGACATAATCGTCTTGCTGGTATCTACATATATGTAATATAGACCTTAATTCTCCCGGTTCTACATCTCGTCTCCAAACTGACCCTCAAATGTTTTGTTTCTAAATATTGTATTTTGTTTTTAAATGGAAGAGTTTAGTTATCCAACATCTTCCTCTGTGTTCGTTTTCTTTTGAACCACTGAAGTATGTACGCTGGAACTATTGAGTTAAGCAAAATGCTCCCGAAGATGTCATCTATGAATTCGTGGAGCAATTACAAACACCTGAGGCCGCCAGCCTTTCTTGGGCAGTATTCTCTTTTTGTGTAGTTTATTAACCACCAGATGAATACTACATCCCTCATAATGCCAGAAAAAAAAATTATCACGACGCAAAGACGAGTTAGAATTACGCAACAAACATTATAGTAACTTAAAATGCACGAACCCCAACGGAAATGTCTTTCTCTGTTTAGGTAACATCATACTTCACAAACTCCAATAAAAAAGTCTTATTTCAAGTAACTTTCACGATTAATTATTTTTTTTATGTTGCAGAAAGAACAAAATTAACGAGAACGCACCGACGGAGTGGGACAGTTTAGTCTTGAGCGTTTGTGAAATATGTTCACTCGGAACTTTAGAACACATTTGATGGGCAGACAAGGCTCAAAACCGCTCAGGCAAGCTTGTGTCCTTCCAAAGTCCAAGCTTGTTCAGTCGGGGCCGGAGTGATGTCCTTCAGCGATTCCAGCTGAGCTGTTCAAACCTCGGCGTCAGTACGTTGTTTTTAGGCCGATTTCCTCGGAAATACTGGAACGGGCGGTCTCTGGCACGCACTAGTAACGAGGTCTTCACAGAGCGCCTGATGCCTTCGTCTTGAATTCTGAAAACAAAATGAGGCACCCGATTTAAGAACAAGAACGTAGAATGCACAGATAATACAATGTACCCTTTAGCTAAGTTAATATTCAGTCGTTACCTTCTAACATAACTAATCTCTCACCTTTACTGAGCTTTAAAAATATAAGGAAAAGTAAACTTTTTTATTGTGAACTATCCTGCTATTTCGGTCTTATTAGCTAAGTTCCACAGACCAATAAATTACTTTAATTGTCACAAATAGCAAGTTTATTGAGCTAAATGTTACACATCATTTCTGTTTAAATATTCTAGCAATTTTACAGTTAAATAGCGGGCATCGACGAGGAGGCGCAGAAGAGATTGACTTGCTCGAGTAACCTGCGATTTTTAGGCTCGTGGGGTCAAGAAATCGCGAAGTTTATAAAACGCATTCGTTGTCCCGGTTATCACAAAAAGTACCGGAATCTACTTTATATGTCACAAAACCTGAGCCTAGAAAAAGAAAGCATCAAGCTCACACATAGCCAACTGGGTTGTACGAACATCTAGTCTTAGCGTCATTATACCCCGCTTGCTCCTAAAAGTAAAAATTCACAAAAAGTATAAAGCCCGAGAGCACATAAACACGATTTATGAGCACAGCTTTGCCTTCTGACAGACATCCGGAAGAAGACTGTGTCCCGTTGGTGGTACTTCGTTATGATGAACGCCAACACCGGGATGAACAACGTCGTGCAATAGAGGCTTTGCAAAATACTAAGGGTGTAGCCGAGGAGCCATGCGGCAGTCTGGCAACGCTGTGAAGCCGCTCCCTAGCCGCCATGAGAAAGGAAGGCTTAGTGAACGGAATCGCCGCACTCGATGACATGCCTGCGCTTCGCTCCAGGTCGTCTTTCCTATTGGAAGAATAACCTTGCCGTTGTGCCGTAACTCAGTGAGCAGCGCATTCTCGATCTTTTTTCTGGAAGATCGTCCACAGAAAGGAGCTATGATCGGGGCTACAATTTGAGCAATGTTGACATCGCTGGAAAACAGGATCTCGCGCCAACTCGACGACGCAGAAAGACAAACCAAACGCATTGAAACTGTCAGGTCATCACACTCGTGTGCGGCGCCCGACACAAACGTCTCGTGACAACGCGTTAAATTTCGATCGCAACAAAAGCAACACAGCGACACGCGAAAATTTCTGTTCACATCGACAAACTCCGGCAAAAGCACTAGCTGCGTGATCGGCGAGCTGAACAGGCCTGTCTGGTAGCGACACACGTTCTTTACAAAACAAAAAGGAAAGAAATTGAAGTACCAAGAAAGTGACCGAACGACGCAGCTTAAAAGATTCTCCAAATAAATCGCACGACTAAAGACGCGAACAACGTGAAGCGTGCGCGCAGTGCACTTCAAACTTAACGCCGCCACTGTGTTCCGAAACATTAAGCTCGTCTCGGCTACTTAGTAATAAATTTGTCACCAAAACGTTTGGGATGCTTTTTGAGGATGGGATAGAAATCGGGAGCCCAAACAATCTTCAGATAGTTCACTCGGCTGCGGCAGGGACGGTTAGAAATGACAAATGCCGTGGCGGCGTTAAGTTTGAGGCGCACTGTACCTTTCGTCTGGACTCGTTCGTGTATCGCTACCGCTTTCAGAGCGGAACGCAGCAGTGGCTAGGAACGCAGCAGTGGGTAGGATTCAGTGTCGAAACTGCCTTAGCAGCTCGCAAAGCAGACGAGAGCTTCCTTTCTAATGGCGTCCACGTGGGATGTGCTCAGTCTTGCCACCATGGGGAGTACAGTGTTGCCCGACATTTTGCAAAGGCTGTATGAGCGCATAATTATGCAATTAACGTACTCCTTGAGGTCGCGGCATTTCCAAAGTTTTTAGACCGAGTTTGGGCAGGAATACTATTCCTGCCCAAATATTTGAAAAATAAATACTAGGACACATGGCGAAACAGCTAAAAAACTTATATTGAAAAAAATTATAAAAGTATGCCGCGATATGTATAAGAAATACATTTGATAGAGAAGTATTTTAAAGACAAATACAAGAATACATTTTGAGGGGCCGATATAGGCACTGAAATGCATTATTATAAGAGCATTATTTCGGATGTTTCTTGGTTCACCCCTAAGAGCATACGAAGAACAAAGAAGAAGCATGTTCTAAAATGCGAGATTTTGTTTTTAAACCAGCAATCGAGTTCGCTCTTCATGTTGGCGCCTGAATTACGATTAAATCAAATTTACAACAGAATTAACATCTTGTATTTTGTGAAGCACTAATGGACGCAAGCTATATTTTTCACCGTGGCTTGAGCGCGGTTTCATTTCGGCATTTCTTATCTTTCTGTGACATAATCGCAGGGACTTCTAAGCCAGTTTTGTGACCGCCCAAAAAAAGCTCGAGATGCCATTATGATTATGTTCAATCCGGACGTCTCTTTCAGCACTGACCTTATAACGTCACCTTGGAATGAAAAACAAGGAACCCGTGTCCTTTTATTTGTTAGTTGGGCGCGCCGAAAGAGCCTTTAACTTTTCGAATCGACTAGAATATTCGACCACCTAAAGTGTGGAAAACATTTGTTAACTTTTGCACAATAAAGAAGAGAGTCATGTGCCGTCAGAGACACGAAACGTCTCTGACAAAACTGTGAGGAGGTCAACATTTCTTATCAGACTATAACAAAATACATCGGCCTTCATATTATCGCGATATCAATAATACACCCGAAAGTGTATTTCGATAAATAAATACAAAATGCAGCTGAAAAATGGTATCGGGGCACAGAAATATAAATACAAAAAATATTTCTAAAATACTTTAGCGATACCTTCGTATCGCTATAACGCCCCACCCCGCGAACCTCCCCCCCCCCCCCCCCCCCCCCCCCCCTTCTTTCGTTCCCGGTTTCATGTAGACGCTAGGAAGACGCCTGCCCTACCTGTCAACATCGACATGTTTTTGGTCCTTAATCTACAAGTCTACATTTTTTCAGTGAATAAATATTCTGTTTTGAGCGGCGGCCACCTTATTGTGTTTCGCTACCATTCCCATTCGACACCTGGGGCAACATGAAACTTCGTCGTTAATGCACAACCATCCAGTAGGTGAAAAGGTTTGAGGCAGGTGCTCACTTAATCTGCCTTGTTGCCTTGTTATACGAAGAAATAACATGGGGTGCAATAAACACGCCACGTGTTGCGTTGTACGACAAAGTTCACCATTGGAAATGTGAGATTTATCACTGTTGCTCACTAAGGTCATCTAACCGTTCTGAGGAATGAAAATACCAGATGCACTTAGGTGTGCCACCTCATGAACAGCTTTCCCCTCCCCTTAAAATTAGTGAGGTTAACTAACACCTAATAAATAACAAGCCATTAGTTCTGATAGATATGTCATCAGCCAAGGCCGACGATCGGCACAGATTGGAGACGACGGTTGCATCAACGTTCGGCTCAAACTTGACACGAAGACGCGACCTGACGCAGCACTCGTTTCCAGTCTGTGTCCAGCCTTGGCCTTCACTGGTGACGCAAAAATGTCAGCGCTACGGCCTTGTCTTCTACGCGGTGCTGGGTTAACTCTTTGTGTAGAGTTTGACCTCAGCGCGAATTAAAAGATGCAACATACCACACTGTCTACACATTACGAGAGAACATCCCCTGGACAACGCGGCGTTTTCAATAAATTTCGATCGGCAAAAAAAAAAAAAGATTCCTTGGAAACTACTGCGCTGAAAACCTATTCCCAGAACAAAGGCGAAATACATCGCATGATATTGTCCCAGGAACATTCTAGGACAACAAGTAGATATAACATTATATAGGCAAAGCTGGGCTTGAAATTGACTGCTGATTGCGCGAAAGGTGCAGTAGAGACTAGTGCGATTAGAAATGTTTCTCGTCATTAAGGCAACAGTGCATCACACCACGTTTTCCGGGCAACAAACATCTTCAAGAAAGAAAACTGATAATAAAACGTATTGCTCGTCCTCGTCTCCAGAAATACGTTACCTTCGAACGCTTCGTGGTCAAAACATTTTTTTCTCATTCAAATCTTTGGTTCTGACACCCCCGCCTCATGCGCTATATAATAATGTCGTTTCATTGTGTAGACTGTAATACCTATAGAAATGTAATTAGTCTGTTGCGATAGTTTTACAAGGAATCTTTAAACTGCCGTGCAGTACTTCGTCATCTGGACAGAAAACTTGCACCACTTAAGCCAGCTTCGCATTTCACGGCGTACCATGGTTTTACTGAAAATAACTATCTCCTAACTCTTTTCTTTCAAATGCGTGCTCTGGTGTTAAAAGCTGAACGAAGATTGTTGATATATTCCTTCTTTCACCAGTGGCGGAACATCTCCAGTGGTCGATGTCTTTCCTTCCAAGGTATCCATAGATACGCAGTAAACATCACTCTTTATTGCTACGTTTTTAGCCTTACACTTTGCTGTCGCTTAGTGTAGGTCTCCGTACTGTGCTGCAGCAGTATTATAGGTAAAAAAAGAACGTCGTTGTTCGCAAAAAAAGAATGTATGTAGATATATTGATATATACAGGGTGTTTCAGAAACCGCAGGCCAAATCGCTCCTGCAAAAACTACTTATCACAACAAAAAAAGGCTTGTGGCATTTTGGTCCTGGGCCAGGGGCCCATTTACGAAAATTATTAAAGTCCGGGATAATTAACTTGTTAATTAATTTTGCCTAATTAACTTTTTTAATATTGGGTTTTAGGGCATGGTTTAAATTAGTAAATTGCTCAGCACCATCGAAAACCACTAAACCAACAAATTGCAGAACGATAGAAAGCACGCAAAGCATTTTACGGCTTTCTGAAAAATCGCACAAATTCGACGGGTGTTTAAGTTTCGGTTTGTTATCGGAGCGCATCTCCGCCCTTGGTGGCACCGCTTCCCGCGAAGCGATAGTGCAACCAACCTCTGCTGCGCTGTCATCGCGCGACCCAGCAGAGTCTCGTTGCACTATCTCTCCACGGGGCGCGGTGCTGCCGGGGCCGAGATGCGCTCCGATAATAAACCGAAACTTAAAAACCCGTCGAATTTGTGCGGTTTTTCACAACGCCGTAAAATGCTTCGCGTGCCTTCTATCGTTCTGCAATTTGTTAGTTTAGTGGTTTTCGATGATGCTGAGCAATTTCCTAATTTAAACCATGCCCTAAAACACAATATTAAAAAAAGCTAATTAGGCAAAAATAATTAACTAGTAATTATCCGGAATTTTAATAATTTTCGTAAATGGGCCCCTGGCCCAGGACCACAACGCCACAAGCCGTTTTTCGTTGCGATGAGTAGTTTTCGCAGGAGCGATTTGGCCTGCGTTCCCTGAAACACCCTGTATATATTGACAATTAGGATGAATAAAATTTTCCGTAAAAAGTTTTTTTTTTCTGTTATTGGTGACGACTGCAGCACTTCGCCTTGTCTACTTCGTACATTTTGAGTGGGCCGTTTGCTCCTTCCGTAAGCTGTTCACGTTGTGGAGAATCCCTCTGGTCAGTCTTGACAGTTGGTATCGGAACTATAAGGACTAACGACCTCTATCGGCAGTACTGTTGTTGGGACTGTGGTGATCTATTGAATTTCTCCCCGGTGATTCTTCTTAGCTTTATGTCTTGTAAAATATGCAGGAGGAGTGAATTGAGACGAGTGGTTTTGTTTTCCCTACATGCAGGTGGAGACATCTTGTGGTTGCTTAATGTTGCAAAACTATTCACCTTCTTTTTCATGGAAGTGCACCCTGATATTAACAATTCACATGCTTGAGAGTTTATTCCAAGAAGTTTATCCTAGGGGATCTTTTTCTTAAGTTGTCACCGATGGTTTCAAGTGCCGAGCAGTTCTAAAGGTGGACTTTAGCAATATCGACCACTGCAGCCTATGGAGACATGACTTTATAACATTAAAGAGTGCACGTCATTTTCATTGCTTCACAAACAACCAATAAAAAAACGTTTCGACAGCACTCAGCTTTCTATTTAGAGCTTATTTCATCGCATGTCCAGTTATCAGTTAAGAGCAGTGTTCTAATGTTATCAATCCGTAATTCTGTGGTTGTGGTACTTTTGGCGAAAAAATATGTGCCCAATGGTAAAACCGAGCTTCTTAAAATTGTCAGTGAGCTGTCTCAGAGGGCTTCGTATTTGTTGGTCGCATATAACTTTTGTTTCCAAGACGCATAATTAATATTGCCAAGCGCGCCGACCAGGCCTTTTGCATTTCACAGTTGAAGCATATCCACCGTGGAAGTAACAGCACAGAAATTAGGACGCCGCAAATGCAAGTCAGAGACGCCTTCCACTCATTGCTTTCGTAAAAATCTGAGCCTTCCCGAGGGTCACTATATATTCACACAAACATAATTAAATTTTATGAGGGTTGTAGACCTTACCAGTATGTGTTTTTTGGAGTTTATTTCCCATAAAATGGGGGGGGGGGGGGGGGGGGGGGCGAGAGGTCATAGTTTATTTTCCTAAGATTTGCTCTTGTTCTATCGTGCGGAATAAACGTTTGGTGTCGAACTGCAAATGGCCGTTTTATTGGGCTTATTCTGACAAAACCAGAATACAAACATAAGATTCCCCAACCTCCAGGCTGAACCAAATAGGGTTATTCCATGTCAAACGTCCCAGACGTTGCGCTCGACACCGTCCAATTTCTAAAAAAAAAAAAAAAAAAAAATTCATGGACTTTTGCCGCGATAACCGTAGTTATGCCCGAAAATATTTTTGACGAAAATGCTTTTTTTTTATTACGTGCGCGCGGTTTTAACTTTTAAAAACAGCGTAAAACTAGGCGTCACTCAATAATTAATGAAAAATCAGCTCTTTAGCGAAACACCCCAGATTATTTTTTTTCTTAAATATGCATAGCTTTTGACTTACAATGTGGTTGGGATTGTAAAGTTCTGTTTAATTTAAATATTTTTTAACTAAAAAGCTTTGAAATTTTTAACATATTTGTTATTTTATCAAAAATATCGAATTGCTCCTGGGACCTAATATAACTTTTTACCGGCTGTCCTGCAAGTATATAATCTATAAAGAATGTTTAAAACCGCTTAATTAAATATCTCGCAGTAAACAAAAATCCTGAAGTTGCAAAAAAGTGCGTTTTGACGCGAAAGCAGCCGTTTATTTCACCTTGAGGTGGTCCAAGTAAAAATACAAAATATGAACGATTTGGAAGAACAATCGATGATTTTTTGATTCTGAAAGTTTAATCAAAGTGATTTTTGTTTAAGGCGAGAAAACGATTTTTGAATTTGAACTTTCCCACCACAATCCGGCGTCGCTTCTTAAAGCTTTTCGCCGCACAGCACGCCACCTGCGACGATAGCTGACACGATTAGGTCCAAAAAAAGAACGGAGTTTTCCGTCGCTTTTTCTTGTCTGTCTTTCCGGCTACAAGGGAAGAAACGGCGGGTATCGTGTAATAATCGGAGGTGCCGCCAGCGCGTAGCAACAGCAGGCCCGTTGTGTCCTTTGTACCCGAGGGCGGCTTGAAACGCGAAGCCTAATACGGGCCGCATCAGTTGACGTGGACTTCTCCTAAAAAAGAAACGCGATGATATCGCCTCGAAATCTAGGTGTCACGCATACTGCGGTGAATAGCGGAACTATACAGCGACGCAAGAATTTGCCGTTTCAAAGGCGATTTAGACACAAACGAGGCCTGAGCCTCCAACTGCGCGCATTCGTTAACACCACATCGCCTTGTCATATGAGATTGCACGTTCACGGGACTTTCGTGCTGCTGTCTACATCTGTCCTGACGTCGAGAAGAGAGAGTGATTGCGATGTGTACGTAAGAAACAGCTAGCTTACTAGTGGATGCTCTTACCTGGCAGCGTTAAGCATTTGCTGATATCAAGACCCTGGAAGTCCACAGGAGGACAGAGCCGCGCAATACGGTCAAAATAGGAAGAGCCATAATGCAACAAGAGCAGAAAAAAGCTTTTTTCCATCAAGATGTACCAGACAACTCGAGGTCCTGCTTTCTACTTTGCGCACACCGTGACACTGTCGCACGCTTTGCCGAGCTCGACGGTGGCGTGCTGTGCAGAGAAGAGACGCAAGGTACGATGACAGGTTGCGGCGCGAAAGCTCAACTTCAAAATGTTTTTTTCTTCTTTAGAACAAATATACTTTAATTAAACTTTTAAGAACAAAAGAATAAACTCTTTTGTAGAAGTCACCATATTACGCATTTTTCTTTGGGCCACCTCAAGGCAGAACTGACGGCTCTTTAAACGGCAAAACGCAATTTTGCACAAATTTACTTGTTGTAGTTGTTGTTTTGCAAGATATTTAGTTGTACGGCTTGAAACTTTTCTGTGTACAGTATACCTACAGGGCTGTCAATAAGACTATTTACAGTAGCATGCAGCAAATCCATAGTTTGTAACAAAAAATATTAATTATTTTTTTAAAACTGCTTCGAGGATACCGAATTCCATGACCATGATACTTATTACATAGCAATCCAAATACCGTAGGGCTATTAGGCAAAAATATTTCAGTGTTCCGTAAAACAATCTTACTCTTTCATCAATTATTCAATGACTCGTCCACCCCCCTTTTACTAGTTCCAACCGCCATCACCCCATGAAATTTGTTTTTCGACAAAAAAAAATGCTAGAGAGGCACCACAAACATTACGGTGAAGAGCCATCAATTTTGTTTCAGAAATCGGAGGTGGCCGTGGGACCTTTGGCATGGCATGGAGAAGTCCTGGTCACTTGATGCCTCACTGCTTTTAGGCATCGCGTTTCGAGCCGCCCTCGGGTACAAAGAGCACAACGGGCCTGCTATTGCTACACGCTGGCGGCACCTTGGATTATTACACGATACCCGCCGTTTCTTCCTTTGCAGCCGGAAAGACAGGCAAGGGGAAGCGGTAGAAAGCTCAGTTCTTTCTTTGGACCTAATCGTGTCAGCTATCGTCGCAGATGACGCTCTGTGCGGCGAAGAGGCGTTAAGAAGCGACGCCGGGTTGTAATACGAGAATTAAATTTAAAAAAAAAAAGAAAATCCTCGCTTTAAACAAGATTTACCTTGATTAAACTTTCAGAATCAAAAGATTATCGATTGTTCTTACAAACCCATCATATTTTGTATTTTTACATGGACCACCTCAGGGAGAAATAAACGGCTGTTTATGCTTCAGAACGGACGTTTCTGCAACTTCGGGACTTTTGTTTACTGCGAGATAATTAATTGAACGGTTTTCAAATTTTTTTTTTTTATAAATTATATTTTTGCATGGCAGCCGTTAAAAGGTTCTCTTAAGTCCCGGGAGCAATTAGATATTTTTAATAAAAAAACTAAAATGTTAAAATTTTCAAAACTTTCAGTTTTTTTATATTTAAATTAAAACTTCACAAGGCCCAACCACGTTGTAGTTCAAAAGCCGTGCAAATTTAAGAAAAAATATTGGTAGGCGTATCACGAGAAAGCTGATTTTTCATGAATTATTGAGTGATGCCTAGTTTCACGCTGTTTTTAAAAGTTAAAACCGCGCTCACGTTATCAAAAATATTTTTGCCAAAAATATTTCAGGGCGTGAGTGCAAACATTGCGGCCAAAAGCCATGATTTTTTTTTCTTTGAAATTAGAAGGGGTTGAGCGCAACGTCTGGGACGTTTAACATGGAATGACCCAATACCGAAAAGACGACTCGGTCTCGATTAGAGAGGGGAATAAGATAAGGTTTCCGAAGAAAGATGCAACCTCGCGGAGGACCCAGTGTGGGCTGAAGTCCGGGTGAAAAACAACTGCAGTTAAAGGCTTCTTCCCGTGAAGCTTAGATTTTGTTTACACAAAGACACCTCCATTGTAATAAAACGTGCTCGGGGAGGTAATTTCCAGGGTTTCTTGGTATACGCCTTTGTATGAAATCGATAAAAGGCCGTTGTTGTTTCGATAATAACCGAGCATCTAGCTTCTTTATCACTATATAAAGCAGTTTCGTGTTGCATTACCCTTGCTCGTGGACCCTGCGACAGCAGAAGAGCCCTGTGAAGATTTCTTATCACCGCTGCATCAATGTATTCACAACAGTGTGATCCTGGTCCAGTGTGGCCAAGCAAAGGCCCTTGGAAGATGCAAATGCTGAAAAACAAGATGCATCTAAAGTAAACATCATTCATCTGTTGACACGCATTTATTCACTTTCACATTTTTTCATTTAAGTTATTTAAAATCTAAACACAAAAGGCGAACACAAAAGACCATGCAGACGATAAAGCGCAAGTGTCGTTTGTACTGTATTCTCTCCCCCCTCCCCTTGTTTTCGTATTTATTCACCAACACTTTTCACCATAGAAATTAGTGCCAACAGAAGCTGACTTTAAATGTCATTCATTGGTCTGTCGCTAAAATAAATGATATATGCTTTTAGCTAAATAAATAAACTGTAATGAAGCCAATTTATCGAAGGGGCTCTCACTACAAGAATAATGACTGAATTGCTCAAATGTTACATTTTTTACTCGACGCGAAAGAAGGCCGGTTATTGTGTATATCTTAGCACCCAATTCACGAGCCGTTTTTGTGAGATCAGGTGAACATTTACAAGGGGATGACATAACAAATGTAGACAGGAGGGAGTGATGAATTGCCGGCAGAGGAAACATGAATAATTTATTGTGGCTTTAAGTATTTTCTTGCATAACCGTGAAACGGTTTTCCAGAAATAGCAAAGATATTGCAGACAATTTGGTACGACTATTTTTCAGATATATTTCTACCACTGTTTTTACAAAGAAAAATTTAAAAACAAAACACTGATTGATCTTGATTCTTTTTACAGACTAGAAGTGGCCACAAAATAGACTTGTTTTTTTTTTGTCCATAAGTCGGATATTTGAATATGTCGTACTTCCTGTGAGAGGTAATTTTTTGGAACAAGTTTGTATTTAAGTCGCATTTTTATATTAGTTGCACTATTTTGTGCGGTAGGCGCGGCGAAACTGCCTTGATCCTAAACCCACATATTTGCATTGTGATCACAATAATACCAGTAGAGGCGCAACAAGGAAACCGTATCAATATCTACGAGAAGAAAAGAAGGATATTGAAGGCAAACAGACAACACAGCGAAAGCCTGTCTTGTCTGTTGCCACTCATGCAACAGGCAAGGCTGTGGGTGCGAAAACGGGCCTGGCCCTGTGGTTTGTTCTTTTTCCCATCCGCGTGTTCGCACAACCATCGTTGCGCCTGTTGCACAAGTGTTAACTTAGCACCCTACCGTGCTAAGCGCGCGCTTTTTTTTTCCGTGCTAAGTATACCAATGTAGTGATTTTCGACGAAGTTATGCAAGATATTAATGGAAACCATATGTTTATATTCACGAATTAAAAAATTTAATTTACAAATAGCGTTTAATTAAACCATTTACAGGTACGATAACCCCTCTATTATATACCCCAGAACGTATAACCCACCAGCGCAGACCGCATTAGTGTACCCTTCATAGCTTTTCTTAAAACATGTTTGTGAAAATTCCGAGGACACCTAAACACTTCCTATAAGTTGTGAATGTGAAGGTATCCTCGGCGCCGAGAGGAGCAGAAACGACCGCAGCGCCGGCAGGGTGTGCAACGGTGCGCCGCGCAGACCGCCCTGGCTCGCTGGTGACTGCTGCGCCGCTGGGTAAGGCCGCGGCAGAAGTGCGAAGCTCGGCGCGGAGTCAGGAGTGTTTTACAATGCATCTGCGTTGTGTGCTTTTCTTCGTGTTTTACTTCCGAGACGCATCGCAACCGATGGGGCTTTAGATGCCGTTTCGATCAGCCAATCGGAAAATTAGAATTTAGGTTTCATTTTTCGCGGTTACCGACGCCGCCAGCTTCGCTCCATGGGACAGTTCATGCTTTCGCATTAAAACACCCCGTAAAAAGAATTTAGTCACTGTAAGCACAATCAACGCAGAGGGAAGTGTCTTATGGTCACGTTCCTTGCTTCGCAATTCGCTTTTCGGCGCTCTTACAGCTGGCTAGAGCCCCAAACTCATCGGCTGCCGACGATAATAAGGTGCAGGGGGCACGCCAGGCCCCAAGTGTCTTAAACTACAGGTGACTCTAGTGTAGCAGTCGCTTCCGAGGTACTCACTATCCATTTCTGTGGAATCACTTCGTGGGGAAACTTGGACTCGGTCCACCACGTCAGGCACCACCGGATTCCAGGATCTGGGAAAGTATCGCAGTTTGTCAGCTGTGAAAACTCGACGTTCTCTACGAGAATGTGAAGCTTGCCGGCTTGAATATCTAGTGCACATGTTTGAATATCGAACATGTACACAATGTTCAAGAGGGCGCTTCTTTTGTGCAAAAATTTCGTGTTCAAAGCCGCCACCGTGCTCCGCCGTGATGCGGATCGGTACAAGAAATATCCGAAATCTTCTGTCGTCGCTAAAAAGTGTAAAATTCATCCTGCACTTTTTCTCGCACTCACCTATGATCGGTCAGAATACCAAAATCCACACCACTCGTATAGGGCACTGTTCGAATTCTGTTCCTATCTCCTCCTCTCACTACTGTCCCCACTTTTTTTAATTTTTCCACAAGTACTTTTAGACGTATAAACTTTTAATTACACCCCCATTTCTTTCTTCTCTTAATTCTCTATTTTCTCGAGCCTACAAGTGAGTCTTTCTAACAGGATAGATAAGAGTTTGCAAAAGCATTTACTTACTTTTCACGCATTTCGAGAGCCCCCTCCCCGCGTGCTTTATTTGAATTCACTCTTGCCGAACGTGGACCTCGGCGAAGGTACAGAAATTACCTTTAAATATTTACCAATAAAAACACGGGGAGTATAAAAGGTTTAGACATGTGACCAAATAAACTGAAGTTGAAAACCACGTGACGTGTTTTTCATATTTTTAATTTATTCGGTCACGTGTGCACACGGAGGGCTTTGAATTTGTAAAGACACTCCTTAAGGAAGTGCCATCTTTCTAAGCAGCACTCTGTACTACCATACAGTGGATCAAAGTGAACTCTACGGGCCATCCCAGCCAGTCCAGCCGCTGCGAATGTACACCACGTGACAATGCTCCTCGCAAAGCGTCACCTTGCCCCTCCCAAAGGTCACGTGACGCTCACACGGCATCGGATTGGCTCCGACATAACCGTTTATACAGAGAGAGTTTGGCATTCTTAAAGGCCGACGACCAGACTTTAGATTCTGCAAGGCAGAAGATACTCCTCACCATGGGGGACGAGGAAACCGGCAACGGTAGACAGAGTAGAAGGGGGAGAGGAGGACGCGGGGGGAAAGGTGGAAAGCGCGAACTGGTCGTCGGGCTTTAGCGAGATTTTGACAGCCTGGCAACCACAGCAGCCTAGGCTGACAAAAGGAGAATGATCACTTTCGTCCGCCATTTTGTGGCTCCGACTCATAGGAACTCTATGCGATTTCTCAGGAATAAAGGAGACAAAGAAGTAACGCCTTTTTGTGCTAACGCGAAATCTTCTGATTCTAGCGGGCATCAAGCTCCGCCCATTGGCCAAACTCTCTCAGTATAATCGGCTCTGGGTTCCCATGTCGGGTAGCGTCCGCTGGGGCCCACCGTAGCGTGAAAGAGAAAGCGTAGATGGCCGTCGGCTTTACAAAACGAAAGGGAACAACGCGACTGAATAAGGGCGAGTAGAGAGCTCGCCGTTCTCACCTTTCAACCGGACTGGGCAGCTTGCTTCCAGCCAACCAGACAGCAGCAACGTTCATTCGGCTGGGACAGCTTGACCCTGCGCCCCAAATGGCAATCATTATTTTACGTATCTTTTTTGTGTGTAAAACAAAACAAGCTACACTCTAAAAAAAAAGTTTGTGCGTCTACTTTCACGCACAACATTCGGAGAACTAATCAGCGGAACTTATGGAGGCCGCTCAGCGAATGACGATGCCCGAAATATCTGTTTAGACCAAAAAACGCAGACTGAGTTGTGACATTAAGCAACGAAAGCGTGACGTTTTGCATTGCTTAATGTCACAACTCAGACCGCGTTTTTTGGTCTAAACATATATTTCGGCATGTCATTCGCTGAGCTGCCTCCGTAAGTTGCGCTAATTTGCTCTCCGAGTGTTTTGCGTGAAAGTAGACGCACAAACCTTCTTTTAGAGTGCATATGGTTTCAAAAAGGCAGGGCGTCTTCTAATCGTACCATTATCGCTCGACGCCAAGAAAAACGTACCCTTAGCGACCCTTCGCGATTGCCGAAGAACCAATCCAAAAGCGTGCTCATAATCGGCCGCGCCATGCGTTCCATAAGCTACTCTAAAACGGACAATACGATGAAAAAAAAAAAGAAATGAAATATGCGTCATTAAATGTTTACTCAATCGTTGCAGCGACATGCGGAGATATACTTTGCTCCGAATATTAATAAGAAAATATAAAGTTTTGTTGTTGTTGTTGTTGTTGTTGTTTTTTTATCCAAAAACAAATTACGAGTCGCCGAACGCTCATCATCCGCCCAGATACATAGTGCTAGCGGTTTTAACCAGATGCCGAATCTAAGTGTCATCTTATTCACAATTTCATAACTAGTTTTCTTATATTTCAGTGGGAAAATGGCGGCCGATGTCGCTCTCCAATAAGTGGAGCTGAATGCCGCCAATTATTAAAAGCTGGCCCAAGCGAACACCATTCCATTCAAATTTTTAACAAATCACAGAACGCTTTCGTTTAAGAAACTGGTAAGTTCTGAAACTTCAGGATCTTGTTCGAACCGCTAGCCCTGCATTTGAGCCAAGAATGAACGTTCAGAATGCATAGTTTATTTTTGGCGGCTAGAAAAACGCAGCAATTTAACCTCTTTACTTTTTTGTTTGGAGGAAAATAGGTGTGTGTGTGGGGGGGGGGGGGGGGGGGGGAGGAACGTAGTATACATGGACTTGACGTGCTAGAAATTTTATTATTCTTTTCGTGATAGCCCAATCCGCGGCTCTTCGAGGGCCCAAGTGTAGTCTACGGCTTTCTGGTAAACCTAACTAACCCCCTCCCTCAGACAAATAGAAAAAAGGCAGCTTGCGTTTTGTCAGCTTTGGAGCATCATAAGCATATCGGACAAGCGCCTTGTTTTTCGAATGGAGAATCACAATAAGGAAACATACTGAGCAATTTATGAGTCGAATTCGCCGTGGCCACCAACTGAGCAGAAACAAAGATGTAAACAACAGCTTCCCCGTTCACCCCCCCCCCCCCCCCCCCCCAGCCCGGCTTTTTATTTAGGCTCTTCACTTAAAATGATTCTGTTTTAGGACTCTTTGCATGTGTCCACCTGGCCACCTCTGCTGTAGCCACTGACATCTTAAAACATTGCCGCGCGTTACCTCCTATGTGCACGCTGCTTGACGTGCTCCTCACTCACCAAACTTTGAGTCGTTATATTCCGTTCGATTTTCGAGAGCTTTAGGGAATCGTTTTTGTTTTTGTTGTTTTAGAGCACAGCTCTAAAGGCCCGTTTCCGGCATTAGCGGCGTCGCCGTCGCCGTCACTGTCGGCGTAACCGCGAGGTCACGTGACCACCCCTAGGTTACGTGACCCCCCAGGTCACGTGGCACCCCAGGTCAGGTGACCTCCCCCCGAGGTCACGTGACCCCCACTCCGAGGTCACGTGACCCCACCTTGAGGTCACGTGACCCCCTGAGGTCACGTGAGCCCCTGACGTCACACGACACCCCGAGGTCACATCACCCCACCCTGAGGTCACGTCACCCCCCTGAGGTCACGTAACCCCCCTGAGTTCCCGTGACCCCACCCCGAGGTCAAGTGCCCTTCTGAGGTCACGTGACCCTTTCTTAGGTCACGTGACCCTTCTGAGGTCACGTGAGCCCCCTGACGTCACACGACCCAACTGAGGTGGCGTGACTTCCCCCCTGACGTCAAACGACCCCCCTTGAGGTCACGTGACATCAAGGAGTCGCCTATCCCTCAGTACCCTTCCATCCTCCTCCTCAAGAGCTGCGCTCTAACACGGCGTTACAAGTAAGCGGCTTTCATTTTTTCACATCCGATACGGTATGATGGGCCCTCCGTCATGAACTGCGCACGTGCTACCAAAGAAGACTCGCACACATGCACACGTGCGAGACTGAGCAGATCTTTCCATGCCCATGTCCTGCGGCGCTGAATACATCGGCCAAGCGGCTCGCTGCGTAAACCACCGGCTCCGGGAGCATCATAAAGAAGTAGACGATGCCGCACCCAACAGTCGGCCCCCGATAGGCACGCAAAGACGGGAATATCACGGGTGCGCTTCCGACTTTGCCGCCACGACCACGCTAGCAAATATTCGTGACCGCGTCGGGAGGAAATGTAGGCCTCAGGAATGGTGACGAGCCCGGAAATTATAAGCTAATCGTCTCTTTCGCACGGAAAGACTAAGGCCCTGTTATCTCTTATGCCCTTTTATCCCGGCCCTCTTCCTTCCAATGTCTGAGGGCGTGGCATTAGCGAGTGCGCCCCCGAAAAATATTCCTGGCTTCGGGCCTGCAATAAGCCATAGCTAGACACTAATGGATTTACATGACTGAATATTTATATCATAGCGTGCAATATGTTTGAGCCGACATAATAATCCTTTTTTTCCGTTCTTGCAATGGTTGGATGTCTCTCTCTCGCTAAAGCACATAATACCGAAGCGCACCTTGAGGGTCCTTGTGGAAACTGTGCCTCGTCCACAGTCTTACTGCGACGACGACGACGAAGGCCAGAAGCGCGAATCCCAGCACCAGCGCCATCAACACAGCAAGTACAGGGCTAAACTTCACCTGCCATGTCGCCTCTGCAAAGTCCGCAAAGAGCACAACCGTCAAACAAATAGAAGCATAGCTTAAACGCCCCTTTTGTGTCTCCTCGTACCACGAGTGTTTATTTTGCCAGATTGTGCAATTTTTTCCGGTCTTTTATTACAGCAGTCAAGCCACAAGTAGCAAAATGATTGTTTTACGACTGTGCAAGAAACGAAGGCTATCTAGCTTGCGGGAATCCCTCGCTAGATAATTTTCACTTTATTATAGAAGTACACTTATATACTTTCACGCAGGCTAGAAATATTTGCTTTCTCACATTTGTGTTTTGTATTTGTTCCAAGGTCGCATTAGTTATTTTGGTCGCAAATACGGTAGTCTACGTATGCAACTGTAGCCACGTTTTTTGTTCTTTTTTGCTGTTTTAATTTTATGTTGCGATCCTGGCAATCAAACGAAAATGAAATCAAGATTTTCGTACTTATCTTTGCGGACAGAGTTGATAAATGTCTCTGTGCGTATATTACCTGGTCCCTGGTGAAGCAGGCTTTCGGCAGCGGCAGGCAACGTCGCTGCAGTGAGCAGCACAGGGGAGCTCCTTCCCTTTCCGTTCGCAGAGTAGACGACCAGCACGAAGTCGCTACCGGCCGGAAGGTCCGTCACCTACGCAGACCACCCGTGAGCTAATGTCACCGGACCATCCTCCTGGCTCACCTCGAAGTTTGGCTGGGGTGCGGTGACGTTGCCCCGGAAGCGGCCGCCGCTGTCGTGCACTTCTAGCACGAAGTGTTGGGGAAGACCCCCGTGGTGACCCGCGCTGCAGTGAACCTGGAGATAGAATCTCGGCCGCTAAGAACTTCGGGTCTTAGAGGCGCTATGATGCAACAGCTATCTTTCGTGTCTCTTTTAGATTGCAGTAAACACTAAGAGCCACCGGACCAATAAAACAGTACAGAAACGTACTGTCACTGCTTCCGTTGTTATTTTTTGAGTGTGTCATCACCGGCTCGTCCAGAAAACACGAGAAGGCACTTGACTCGGGGCTTTTAGTCTGCGTGGATGTTGATAATGCAATTAATGCAAAGATGTAAGCTAGCTGGACAAGAATTACGATAATATTCCCCGGAGAAGGGGAACAAAAGGAACAAAGAAAAACACAAATCTCTAAACACAGCTGTAGTGACTGGTGCGCGACCGAAAAAATCCGGCTGGACCTGGTATTGAACAAGGGACCTTTTCATTCCCAGAGAAGCGCTCTACCAACTGAGCTGTATCTTCCGACCTCTGACTGTGCGGTTTCTTGGGACGAAATAAAATATAGAAAACAAGGCCCTGGTGCAGGATTTCCTACGACACATACCAGAGACCGGCGTGATGCACAGATTAAACACGAGTGCTGCGTTAGCGTTTGGCTGGGCATCTTATTCAGTCAGAGGGGACTCGACTCTATACCAAACGCCGATACCGCACTCATGTTCAATCTGTCCCTCGCACTGGCCTCCGAACGGTAACGTAGAAGCCTCAGTACTACGGCCATGTTACAAAAGAAGTGTAGGACGATGCGGCGTCCTCACCTGGAAGGCGTCTTCAGTCTGGTTAGCGAGCGTGCAGAGGCCAGGGGCCTCGGGCGGACCCGCAGGGACCACACTGAACTGGCAGGGCCATCGCTGCGGTCCCACTGCGTTACGCGCTTCACACCTCAGGGTTCCGTAGTCGGCCTCTGAGCGGGCCACGAACGTTGCCACCGAACGCGTCGCACCCTGTGGACAAAGGGCAGGCATCGGGGTGCACAGCTCTCACACACACAAGACTGGGAGATGTTCCAGGTTTAGGTTATGTAAAGTTCTTTAAAAACAACTCGGTCGAGCTTATCTATTACCTATTTATTCATTTATTTTATACCTACATAGCCCAGCGGTCATTACAGATTATTTCACTAAATGTACCAATAGATATGAACACACAAAAGTCGCAACTGTAGTGTTTTGACACTTAAATGGTACTTTCTTCTAGAAACCTATTTTCTTCAATGAAACCTATGTTGCTGTTCAAATCATTTTGAATGTTTACAGCATACCACAAAAAGAATACTATACTATTTTTTATAACGACCCTTGTAGGAATTTTTGAATTAATTTAAGTTTTCTCGGGGCGGCATCATGTGCCTATATTTTCTTTAACTAAAGATCGCACCCAATGTTCAATCCGAAGCGCACAAATTCAGCCCGATAACGACAGTCGTCTTAACTTCGTGTATGGGTGCCTCAATGAGGCTTCAATTGTTATTCTAATAGAAATTCTAAGTTAGAACAATAAAATCTGGCTAGCCATGCTCTGGGTTTAGAAGCGACGAGTCTCCACTCACGCAGAAGGCTGGGGTTACGAAAACGCGTACGATCTCCTCATCATTCGCGTTTTCGCGTCGTCAGCCTTGAGCCTGCTGCATAAGTGGTAACTTGGCGCATTCCCACACTTCACAAGTGGTTTCCCTACCGAAAAATCCGGTATAGCTTTTCGCTATGCGGATTATGGAACCGGAAATCTTTCTGGGTTCTATCAGGACTATATCTGGAATTTAGGTTTTCAGAAATTATTCCTTTGTCTGCAATCTGGATTTCGGTTTTCCAGTAACAAATTTTCGGTTCCATAATCCAGATAATGAAAAGTTATACCGGATTTTTCGTTACGGTAAACTCTCAAGATGTGCTAATTCATGGGTTTTAAAGACACCCATTAAGATTTTTAATTGAACGAACATGTTTTTTAATAATTAAAACGGTAATTGTATTTTAGTTATTTATTCTGCTACTGTATATGTTTTGTGCAGCTGTTGACGTTTGTTGTGACTGGTATACTGTTCTCGGAAAGTTCTTTTTTTTCAATCACTCTATTGGTAGAATCTTTTTTTTTTAAGTCATCACTGCAACACCTAATGTAACTACGTATTTTTATTGTTTCATGACATATTCATAAAAGGATCCTTTGCAACTGCGTTCCGAATAACAGGCAATTTTGGACGAATTGGCAAATTTGCTTTTTTGTAAAAAGCTATAAACGATGAAAATTTGATCTTCCGTTCTAAAACAAGTCCTTCTTCCCACTGATAAACATGGTATTGCAGTTTGAGAGAAATCAACTGCGTGTAAAACATTAAAAACTGGAAAGACAAAAAATTAGGTTACCGACGTATTACACCACGTTTCGCTGCACATTTCATTCATAAAAAGCCTTTACTTTATTATTTTTCATCTCATCTTCCGTGATCAAACAAATTTAGTTATCACATCATTATTTTTTTTAGAAAATTTCGAAACTCACTGTAACGCTATGAAAAAATCAAAACAAACCACCAATATAAATGAGTAGCTCACGATTTCTAAAAAGGTGAGTCCGAAAATTCTATTTTTTCCCAGGAAAATAAGCCCTTTCGCGTTTTGCCACGGAACAGCGTAGGGAATTTGCGTCTCCCCGTGGAACATAAGTTTCTACCTTGTGGCCTCTAGCGGCTTAATTTAAAATCTTTGAAATATGACCCAAGTAGCAAGTGTTACCTGCGGGCCGTGGAGAATATTAATTTCCGCTGAGTGGTTCAAGTGCCAATGGAAGGTGACCTCTGGAGGGTCCGCTTCCACGTCGCAAGTAACCTAGGAAGAGAAGAAGTTGTGGATAATTACCAAATGGTATACCCGGAGGACCACCAATTTACGTTCGGGGTGTTAAAATTATCACAGGTGTAACCCATCACACAGGTGTGCCAACAATTACGTCAAAAGTATCAAAAGCGACATCTCGATAATGCACTTGACACTTTCTAGCTGCTATGGTAATGGCAATAAATATTCTCCTTTTAATTCTGTTAGAACAAGCAACGTCGGTTCGATTTATTTTTTATTGTATAATCAGAAGGTTTTAAACTGGGCTTAAAAAAATCCAGGAGTTTCCCTAAAAATCTCGGCGAGTTTTTGAACGTTCAAGATTTGTTGTTCGTCCCTGGCTCTAGGTAAAGTGTTGTCTTAGATTAAGCACTTTTAGATGACCTGACTTATCCGTTGACACACAAGCATGCGGCAACGGAAGGGACAGACTCAAAGCCTAGGGACCTTTAAGTCTGTAGGTTTCTGCAGTGGCATATGCATCAATGCCAGGCCCAGAAGGGGTTTCGCGGCTGCCATTCAAAAGAAACAAACATTCCTCGACATTAAGCAATTCGAGAATCCCTGGACCGTTAGGTTACCGATTCGGAAGGTAAGGATCATTCAACTTCTGACCAGCTTGTGAACACAATAATATTAAAATATCTAATATAGTTCAGTAATGTTCCCTTCAAAGCTCGGTGCGGGTAAAGTGTTATGTTATGTTTGCAGGAATACTACAATAATTATCTTAATTCCATATTTTACTGGTGCCCCAATGTAAACGTTATTTTTTTCGTGGGGTGGGGTGCCTTAAGCGTATAAAATAGAAAAAGTAAAATAAAATATCGAAAACCAATAAAATATCCAAAAACAAATCCAGTCTTCTCTCTTTCTCTTTAATGTCCTTTCCTTATCGTAAATTAATAACCAACAAGCTCAACCATCTACATTTCCCGAGGTTGCCTGTAATTTTTCACTATACGGCACATGAGTAAGTTCACGCTTCAAAAGAAGCAAAATTATCAAAAACATTCGGAAAATGGGACGCTACATAGCGTTGACTGATAATGCATGCGTATTGCAGGTGACTGATTTACTTGTAGGCAATGATCAAATAAATAAGTGCGTCTACTTAAGCCAGTGGGCACGTGAAAATAAAAAACCTAACAGGATAGCTTCAATCTCACCACTAATTACTTTGAATAAAAATAAAAAGGCGAAAGTCTGCAACTTGATACATTTTATGAACATAGGTCCCTAACATCGTAATCGCAGTCATAATAATTCCTCTTGAAATATAAATCGTAAATAATACGTATAAGATATTTTCGCACATATTCACGCCATCAGCCAGTTCCATTCCATACTGCCAGACTCAGGTTAAGCCAATATTATTCAAGAAATGCAAGCTATGTTAGATTGCACTACTATCAGCAAATATTTGAAGCAGTGAAAGTTACGTCTTTACTCGCTATTGCTTTACACCTGTTGCCTAACGTTTGCCGCGTACGATATAACTTCATATTCATAAGACATAGAGAAACGCCGTAAGACGAGGCGAGGTAGTTTAGTGCTTAGCATATAATGTTACAAGAAAGACTGTCTAGCCGTTTTGACTAAAGAGGTCAGAAACAAAGTTTATGTACAGGTATTTACATAAAATGTCCGCCATCGTCCGCTTATGTCGAATCCTCGATCCTCCTCGTTCTCCCATCTTGGTATCCCGTTCCCACTTCCTCTCCGTCGGGATGCCCGCTCCCATTAAATAAGTTTCAACATATACCTTGTTTATACAAGGAGTCCCCTTGTATTTCTAGAACAAAATATCCTACCGTGTACTCTCTGCATTCACTTGCACGAATGTTGATCTTGAACATTTGGTTGCGAGATGTGGAAATACTGTAATCGCTGCAATTTACCGGCCGCCCTGCGGTGTCCTAAATGTTTCTTTAAATTTCTGCACCGGTTACTGCAATATATTTCTGCATCAAACTTACAGATAGCTTTAATACGTGACCTAAATACTGATCTAATGGCAAATGAGTCGTTAAAGATATAATTTTTTTAGAAATTATTCATCTAAATGATTGTGAAAATATTATCAGTGTCCCAACTCGCACCCCTAGATGTATGGAAACCTTGAGTGGTATCTGTGTAGCAAACTGCCAAAGCACTGGTCTGTTCGCTGGCGTTCTAACTGCAGATCTGAGTGATAATTTACCTTTTTTTAGTTTTCCTTCCCCACAACAGTTTACTACGCAAACGCCCCATCAGCAATTATAAACTTTTCTGTGCAAATATAAAGACAAAAAGTATACTATGATTCTACAATATTGTTTCAATCGAAACAAAGAATGATGTTGTGAATGAACCTAATCCAGGGAAAGCTTATGTTGTTGTTTTTTTTTTTATATAATAAAATTACAACATCAAGATGAAGCGTTTCCATTTTTGAGGTTAAAAACATAAAAGAAATCAATAAAACCATGGATTAGAAACAAACAAATAAACGTAACAAAATGTTTGACCAGTTTATTTAAATTACAAACAAATATCTACTAAGCGATTATAAAAAAAAATAGGAAGAAACACTCACTCGGTATTAAAAAATAAAAGAAAATAAAAGCTTTCTGTGAAAATTAATTTTCAGATATAAGGACCCCACTAAAGTTTGAAATACGATGAAAAACTTAATGTCACTTAATTAGGTTTCTATTCCAGAAGAGAGAGTAATTGAAGGGTATTCATACGCCCAAACGTCATTGGAGAACAAGTTTAATGAACTTTTTTTTTCTCGTCCGGAGCGTGTGGATCGACAACCGAATATACAAATTTCCAGTCACCTGTCCGATCAGATGGCTCTGATTCAATTTTCCTTCAACCTACTGATGAATTGGGAACGCACAGTAGAATAATGTCCTCAAAAAAGACCTGCGCATCTAGTGACGACGATATTAAAGTCACCCCAATTGAATTAATATTCGACTTAGTGTTAACTCCCTTGATACATATATGTAATCAAATCATAGTCACAGATAGTTTTCTGATAAAAGGAAAATTGCTTACCTTTGTGTTATTTCCAAAGGTTATTTCCAATGTTTTTCGAGAACCTAAACAACTTTAGGCCTATATTCATACTGCCTTTTTTTTTTCGAAAATTGTTGAAAAATTATAAACGTGAGGTTTCATAATTATTGTTTTAGCAAGAAACTTATAACTGAACAGCACTTTGGTTTTCTGAAGTGTAAATCAACAGAATCAGCCTTAATGCATAGTAAAGGCAAAATAACTTCAAATATGGAAAATCATAATTAAACATTCGGTATTTTTCAGAACTTTGAAAAAGCATTTAACTCAAATAAACACAAAACTTTACTTTAAAAATTAGTATTATACGCAATCAGAGTTAAAGCACTGGAAATAATACGTAGTATTTAACATCGCATTTTCAATACACAATATTACATGGTTTTAATTCAGAACTGGCACCTATAAAGTACGGTGTTTCACAAGGTTCCATTCTTTGGCCTTTGTTATTTTACCTTTATATAAATGATATTGTGACTTTTCCGCAACGCGATATCATTTTATACGCAGACGGCACGAACGACTTTTTTTCAAGTAGATCTTGGTTTAACTCGAACAAGTTTATAACAAATGGCTTAATAACTTATCACTCTAATTAAAATTTAATCAACTACTTCTTAATACAGGTAAACAAATTCTGTTTTATGTATGGCCTACATAAAACATAAAACAATCAAACACAAAACTAAATAAACATGTTTAAATGACTTCAACATTTTTTGAACGTTCAAACATTGAAGGCGTAAACACACAAGTTTCTTGGTGTGGTGTTCGAAGGAACTTTTAATTGGACTTCTCACATCCATAAATTAGGATGTCGTATGTCGAGAACGATTGGGCCACTAAATAAACTCAGAGGATTATTACCGAAATTGTTAAGATTGTAACTCTATTATTTACTTGTTTATTCGCAGCTAGAGTACTGCCTAATAGTAGGGGGACAACTACAGAATCAAATCTAAATAAATTATTTTGCGGCAACAAAAGTCTGTCCGGTTTATTGGGAACCCAAAAACATATGATAGCACAATGTCTTCATTTCGGGTTTTAAAATTGCTAACTATAGATTAAATTCTGCTCCTAAATGTTTTAATTATATTTTCCATCAAAGCAGGCAGGACCAATCACTGTTTTTAGCATATACTCAAAAATCCCAGGTAATTACACTGCGACGTTGACACGTAAACAAATTCCAAAAATGTACGGTCGACTGTCAGGCTGACAGATGGAGTAACTAGAGAAATCTACGTGTTTAATAGGACCACTCGAGGAGCTCGAGAGATCTCCTCGAGCTCCCTCGACGAATTTTAGGCGCGACAGCACTTTACGACATAGCCATTACATAAAAAGCAAGGCCCGCGCTAATTATAGCTTGCAGCAGCTCTCATATCTCATTCCAGACACCCTAAATACACACCTCACCAAAACTCAAATGATGGAAAATATTGGGTCATTCAAGACATTTAAGAATAACCTAAAGTAACCGATATTTTAAACATTTCGTGATCTGCAGTTTGTACTCCAATATATACATTTTCTAATTTTTACACCAAATTGATATTCAATCAAATGCTGATGTTGGGGATACGTGTGAGAATGATTATTTATAATCTCTTTTTTATATATATCTTCTCTGCTGACTGAGCACTGTAAAAAATTGGGGCTGGAGCCCTGTAGACGACAAGCATGTGTTGTTTTACTCTAGCCTTCCAAAGTTTTTCGTCTTAAATAAGGATACGATACAAATTACGAATGCAATACTTCCCAGGTTAGGAAACTTAAATTTTTAAACTCCGTTGCATATGGTTTTTCATTGAATTTTTAACCTTCATTCCCATTCGACCAGTGCAATTATCTGTCTGGATACTTTGACAAGACATAAGGATTCAAAATGTGACTTTAAAATTATCATTCCTTATCTTGTAGCTTCCTGCCAAAAAAATAATTCTTAAGATTAGGTATATTCTTTCTGCAGCCATTGTCTTCTATCCCCCATTCCTTTTTTTTTTTCGTAACCGGAATGTTACAGATAAAATGGTAAAAAAATGTTTTAAGAAGAAACGTGCTGCACATTCTTTGTCCATGACGGAACAGCGCTTTAATCGTAGCAACGTAGTAGGTAGGCTTTTATATACGCAAACCGGGACGGCCCGATAATTTTGTATAATAAACCGGAGCTTTGTGCCAGAAAAAGAAAAGATAAATTGAGAAAGTGGGCTGGCGAGGGTAGAGCAACGTGCATCCGCGTAGAAGTCGCGTACACCCAACTACAAACGCGGCAATATTGCAGCTGTTTTACTCGGTGTATTTTTCTAAATAAAACGTTTTGCTTTACGGTCTGGGGAGATATTAAACTTATTACTCGCATTTAAAAGTCTTCTACTTTGTCTATTTTCGAATGTCTAATGCATGCAACCATTAAGGTTTTCGGAAAAAAGAGATAGTTACGGGGACTTCGGCATTATTTTATCAGTGTAGGTCATAAGAATTGTTAAATAAAAACTTGCATTGCGTTATAGACACCTACAATGTTGTGCTTTTTATTAGCGCTATCTCTTTGTTTGCACTTTTAAGTTCTTACGAGCACATAATGCAAAAGTGTAATTGTATATTGTGGTTCTAGCTCCTCTTCTTAAACAAATCATTATCCGCGCTTAAGAAAAAATACATATGGTTCCTTCACTAGGCAAAAGTCTTTGTTGTTTACGCAAATGTGTGCTCACTCAAAATGCTACATGCAACCAAACTATCAGCCGTCATTAGATGCAATGTCTTTTCCATCCATTGCTCCCAGTAATACAAATCGCGTCTTTTTCACACATACAATTAGTGTGCATCTGTCTTAGATAAAGTGTGCGAGGGGCGTCCATATTAATTTACAATTTATTTGTTGCCATAGATACCCGTCGATAAAGAGGCCAGAGCATATGCCCCACTTTTAGACTTTCTCCCGCGAAGCAAAACGCCCTTGCACACTACCTGTGTGTCAGGCTCTCTCTGCCCTGCTGAAATCACTTTTTGCTAGGGCTTCACACCCACACCTGGACAGCAACTTCCAGCATATTAGTGACCGCTAAATTGCGCCCTCGCAAAACTTTATTTATGCCACCCAACATGTGATTACAACTGAGAGACCGGTCAGATCATACTCAGGCTCGACCAAATGTCCGACTGGACATACGACGTTCTAAAAAGACGGCTGAACCCACTAACACGCCGGCAACCACGGCCTCACGTGAACGCACACGACGCGGTGATTGAGCGGGGCCGGATGAGGTTTGGCTGTCCTTCTGACGTGTCGGACGGTCAGTCGGACGTTTGGTCTTGCGTGGTCATGGCCTGACCGGGCCCCCCGTGGTTATGGTCTGTTGGGTGGCATATAAAAAAGCCCTGCGGGGACGCAATGTTGCGGTCATTGATAGAATGAAAGCAGCTTTCCAGGCGTGGGTTTGCTCGAATCTGTGTTTGCTCCCAAAAGTGTGTTTCGAGCATGGCGTGGAGAAGCCGCCACATTTGGCTTGTGGTCTAAAATGGTGAAACTGACTTAATTGTGAATTTTATTTTGTTTCCAAACAAATCAAGACGTAACTCGGCAAAGAGGCCCATATTTAGTAAACATTTAAGATGCGTTTCTTCCTTGTAAGAAGTGACTAAAAAAATCATATGTTAACAAGGAGAAAGCTTAGGCGGCGTGAAACAATCAAATGGCACAGTTTTATAGTAACAAAATTGGAAAAATAAAACTAAAGCGAATATCGATTTATTTTCTGGAACTCGTTTCTATTTATCGTAATAAATGCCATATCTACTGACAATATACTATTTGATGATTTCGCAACAAAAAAATAAAATATGTTTACAATCCCCTGTAAAACCGAATTAGAGCGCAGCTCTTGAGGAGGGGGAGGAGAGGGTACGGAAAGGGGGGTATGCCCCTCCTCCTCCCCATCCGTACCCTCACTGGTGACCCTCGGGGCGCCACACGTGAGGTCACGCGTGACGTCAGCATGGGAAACGTCCCATAATGCACCGCGTGGTTACGGCGACGCCAACGGCGACGCCGACGCCGCTCAAGCCGGAAACGAGCGCCTAAGAGCTGCGCTCTAATACGCGTCTCTGAACGTTTGTTCATATGAAAAGCGTGCTTTTCTTCCCTTCTCTTCTTCGACGCTGGTGAGTTCGTGCTTCACACTCTCAAAATGATAAAAGCACCACCAACGGGGATCTCAAAAGTAGCGCGGTGCGACAATAAATCGATGCATGCGGAGCCTACAAAGGGCACACGCTTCATTAGATTCACGCGGTAGGATGCCTGTCCTTCTAGTGTTTCTCGAGGAATTCGAGCTTTCCAGCTCACTTGCGTTGCTTGCTGATAGTCTTAAAAGAGCGCAAGCAGCGGTCTCTATGAAATAAAAAAGGCGACCAACCTGGATGGGTTCGTGCTTGGCGGATCCGTAGACCCACTTCTGAGGCTCGTGGCAGATCGGAGCGAACTGGACCCGCAGAAAGAGGGCAGCGCTTCGAGACTGGCCCAGCGCGTTGGAAGCTGCGCACTGGTACTCGCCACGGGCGCTGCGCCCCACCTGAAAATCAAAACTTCTCAATCAGCCAGTCGGTCGTAGCACGCATAATTATTTTCCCATCACCCAGCCCGTTGGCACATAATAAAAAAAAAATATTGTATTGCTGGTTCTTTTGATAAATAGCTCGAAACCGATCGCACTTCAAATGCCGAGGAGGTGCTAGCCTAAACGTTTCTGGCATATATAGTTGTCTGGAGTCGCGAAAATAAAATCCTATTATTAATACCTTTATTTACCACGTAAGAGCGAAGTAAAATAAAAGAACGCGAAAAATTGAATGGTACGAAGAGGTACTTCATCCCAAAAGCAAAGAACATCACCGATATTCTACGTTCGCATTAATTCGTTTCTGTAAGCTGTAAGCCACGACACCGATTGACGTTAAAGGTTCACGTTACCTCATGAAGACATGTGACGTCACACGAACGCGGAGATCATGTGGCCGACCGATTTTGCACGTGTCTGGGATTTAGGAGGTACGATCGAGACACGTGTACATTTTTTATCAATCTCGAAAGACACTCAATATCATATCTCGGTAAACTAATCTTGTAGTTTTTTTTTATTGTTCTTTTATAAGTTCATGATTGCATCGGTCGTCATTATAAGACGTTTTTAATGTAAAATATAGTTTTCGGCTCATCAACCCCCCCCTTCCCCCCTACAACCCGGGACAGTGAGAACCATACGTTCTGCTCGACCTTTCAAACCAATTTAGAATCTTCCCACTAAACTTAGCGGAAGTTACCAAGGACATGTATTCCACGCAGTATTAGATTTCCTGCTAAACCGAGCTGCTTTGAAAGCTCCATATATTGAGCGGCACTTGTACCTTGACATCCGGGCTGATTCCGTTTTACAGATGCTTTATAGAGCTATGATGTTTATGGAAACTTTAAATACTTGAGAATTCTACGCGAGAATTATAAAAGTAAAAAATGTGCCCTTCCCGCGTCTTAACACCATTAATCCCATGTGAAACAGTTTTCGGGGGCGATGAGAGAGGTCGGCCACGAATGACAATCTCACCTTCTGTAGCACCAGGGACCTGTTGCTCACGATGACGCCGGCTGTGGTATTAGTTTGTAAGTCGTGACCGTCGAAGAGCCACGTAATGTCGACCACCGGAGGATTTGCAGCAACGTTGCACTCTAGGTACACGTCGTGATTCTCCAGGATGCTGTCTTCTCGCAGTCTGTTGCCCAGTCGCAGCGTCAACAGAGGTTTATCTGCGTAAAAGGTATGCATTCGGGTTCTTCGCTCGAATGAGCGCAGCGAGCTAGTGAAAAGAGCGCCACTCCGGCAACTTTAATGGCGCTGCTTGGTTTATAATCAGAGCGACTGCGTACGAAATAAAAACAAATTACACGAGCTCAATCGTGCTGACAAAGACTTGGGAGCACAGAACGCGTTGAGAAACAAACTACCACCTCGCAGAAATTGACGCCATGTGACTTGAGGTGAAATGACGCGGTCGTGTCACGTCAATTTTCCCCTACATTTAGCGGTGAAATAGATGTCACGTGATAACTTGCTCGCTATTTTTTTCAGTAACTTGACATCACGTGCCTTGAGGTCATGCGACGTGCTCACGTGTTATCGTTTAGTTTAATTACGTGCGTTTATTTTTTTTTTTTATTTGACGTCGCGTAACGCTCCGAGCGTGTGACTCATTCATGACGCTCGGTCATGACGATTTGTATCAAAGAAAGCCACACATAAAACACATCAATTGTTAAACGTTTAGTTGACTATATTGGAAATACTAGTTTTCCCTGCTTGGAAAAATATATATTTTCGCGTCCCGTTCGTGTCATAAATCGCTTTATGACAGAACTGAGCTTTCTTTACGAAATTCAACAGAATTTGTCGCGTTCATGATATGGGACTATAGCCTTGTTAATTAAGTTAGTTTGTAGACTATCATTAAAGCAATATCGCGCATGGCACATGCGATTAAGTAGAGGGAAACACACAAAAGCTATGTGGTGTTTTCGCCTCAGCCTTCGCGCTGTTTCTTTTTAATGAGGTTCTAGAAAATTGGCTGCATAATTGTGGCTCCATGGTACAACGAATGTTCCTCGATCAAAGTAAGTTGACAAGCTTCCTAGGATGCCCAGTGCCTTTGCGGGGCGCGTCCGCTCGGTGGCGCTCGCTATGCTACGCCCTATGAATTGAAACAGCGGAACCGATGGAACATTGAATACACAGTACCTGCGGTAGAAAATGATTCCATTTTAACTTTTGAGCTAAAGAAAACGTTTTTTGTGCAAAGATTGTGCAATAAGAGCGTCGCTCGAAAACGGTCCTTTTCCTTTGCCTGTTGATGCTTTGTCGCGGGTACCGCCAGGAACGCTCTCCACCCGCACCTGCTCGCGTGTGGGCAACAGAAAAGAACCGTTTCGGAACGGCGCTCTTCCGTGGAGTTCGGGACTGGTAAATCTAAGAGCTTCCTAAACAAAGGCAGGTAAGAGGCCACCATTCGATAACCTAAAACGGGGCATCACCGCTCGATGAAGCTACTTAATTTTCCATCCGCATGAAGTAATCCAGACGCGCTTGGACATAACGTTTAAAGCGATAGCTTTATATGGAAACGCCGCGTGGTCTCCTCTTGTTGACGTTGCGCGCACCGAAGCAAGACTAGTGGAGCGAGTGTCAGCTTCAATTGGCGTCTTAGCGCGCACGATCAATGTTATTACGCAGGCGGAATGGGCGGGGGTAAGCCATGCGCTAGCACTCCCTTCGGGGCCTGCGTAGTGGAGTAAGAACTGCACATTAGTAAAAGAATCTAGTAGGCGCAGGGCATGTTGAAATTTCGGCACGTTTAGAACCCCATAAAGTGCTATCGCATCTTTGCTGCATTTGACAGAATGTCTACGCCAGATCATTTCTTCCCACCCTCTAGGAAAGTTTGATGCATGGAAAAACACCGAAAAAACGTTTAGTCTTGGAAAACTCACAAAGAACTCTGAGTGTGACCAGGTCCTCGAGCGAGGCCTGAGGTAACTGCTCGTTTACGGCTCTGCAGGACAGCTGTTGGCCGTCGTCCTCCGTGACCGGCGTGATGGCCAGCGTGCTCGCGGATCCGTCTGCGGTGGCCGGAAGCCTCTGGGTGCCCTTCCACCAGGACAGTGTGGCCGGAGGCCTCGACCCCGAGGACACGCAGCGCAGGGACGACGGACGCCCGGCTTCCAGGGTCGGCTGGCCTCCGACGATGGACACGGACAAGGGGCCCACTGCGTGACGAGCGCTTTACAAAGTGCCCCGCGCTACACACTCAGCTGGAGAGAAACAACGCGTTTTTTTTTTACGTTTTATTCTCAAAGAGCTTAGTGAGGAACACCACCTTGCATTGCTTAAATTGGTCCTGATGCCTGGGGTGTTTAACATGGTGCACGCTAAAGACCCCAGGCTAGCGGTTGTACCGCACTCAAAATTCCTCATCTACAGCTGAGACACCAGACGCCCACTCATCAGAGTAACTTCTGGCTGTATAAGCATACACGCAACAATTTGTTTTGGTCCTGAAGATTATACGTTTCACAACTCTAGGACTATTCACGTATGCACTCTATTGAGGTGAAAGCCTTTTATGTCTCATTGTTTAGTCGACCTTCAAAATTCTTGAGCGAAAACACCTCGGCGACACGAAAACGCACCAAAACACGTCGGGGACACGAACGGTATCAAAACGAAAGGTACCAATGAAACGGCACCAAAAGTGCGTCATCAGAAATCGTGTTGTTCTCGGAGGTTCGCTATCACCGGGATCACAGCGGACGCCACGATGCGAGTAAGCGAATTAAACCTGGCAAAAAGCTCGTCGTCAGAGAGCGCGCTGTCTTCGGAGGTTCGCTATCACGTTTACATCGGCGCTTGGGCTTTTGCTTTCAACTCGTCTTAGGGAAAACATAAGAGACCCTGTGTTTTTCGTAAGACAAAAAGTGAAAAACTTCGAGATGAAGCTAGTTTGTAGTTTCGCTTCCTAGGCGGCGATCACCTTTTCTTATGACGGTAGCAAGAAAATAAGAAAACAGAACAAGCTCCCAGATAAGTCGACAGAGGGCATTTACTCGAATAATGAAACAGATCACACGTGTTTTCTTTTCGCCTCGTGCAGAAGCATTTCGACATTCATCGAGATTAACGACAGGAAAATTAGAAACCTTCGTGAGCCGCAAGCGAGATGGGCAGTGTTTGCAAACAAATATCCCGGCGCGAAGCATCACCATTGGACTATCCGTTAGGCTGCATTCACACTGGCATTCGAGTCGCAACGGCGAAGCGGATCCGCTCCTTTTCATCATCAACTGCGCTTGGATGTGTATTACATATTTAAGCAACCGCTCCGTGGATGCGGTTGAGTCGCCAACGTGAATGCGACGATCAATGACAGCGTCTAAAACCATCTACCAAGCTTAGCTTCTAAAAAGTAAAAGCAGTTTCCAACTCCCTGTAACACCGAATTAGACCGCATGCTCTTGAGGAGGAGGAGGCAAGGGTACTGAGGGTAGGGTATACCCCTCCTCCCTCCTCCTTACCTCCTCATCCTACCTACTACTCCTCCTTCCGAGCGGCGTCGGCGTCCCCGTCGCCGTCTGCGTAACCATGAGGTCACATGACCCTCGTGACTTCACGGGGGTCACGTGACTTCACAGGGGTCACGTGACTTCACGGGAGTCACGTGACTGCACGGCGACAGTGACGCCGCCAAGCCGGAAACGGGCGCCCTAAGAGCTGCGCTCTAAAACTTCAATATCTTACTCATTTTTAATTCTATGGAAGTGACAAATCATGGCTCTTGATGGTGAAACAGACTGCATGTGACATGCTATACTGGGTTTCATTCGATGGTGCAAATACGATACCTCGCTATTGGGTTGAGGGACTTAGAGTGATTATCTTCTTTACAACATGGCATTGGTTTACTACACGGCACTTTAACTACATGACACTAGCGCCCGATTTATCTTCAAAAATAAGAGCACAAACGATCTTGATATTTTAACCCGAGAGTGGAGCATAACGAGGACACTCGTTTTACAGTTGAAGAGAAAGTAACAGGGGACAAACCGCGTCTGTCCCCTGTAACTTTCTCTTCAACTGTAAAAATATTTCCTCTTTCTGCCCCAGTCTCGGGTTAATATAATCATGGTAAACTTCCACCAGCTCGCCTGCACACTAACCGTAATTTCGTAAATACAATCAGTTGGAGGTAGTTGCCGGGGAAACCTAGTTTTAGGAACAGGACTTGCAATCTGAAATTGTGATTCGTAATACCTACTTGCGGTCGCACCCAGGAAGAGCGAAACATACGAGAAGTGCGATTTATGTCTCGTATTTCGCTCACTATTCGCGTGTATTTTGCGATACAATAAAAATACCAGCATTGGTTAAACCAGTTTGCATGCCACTAGAAAGAGCTCTGACATTACATTTAAAAAGTACCCCAAAGATGCGCCTGGGGTTTCCGTCATTATTTATTGGTTTCGTTCCATTTAGTTCAAAGTAGGCTTGCCATCTTTTCCGATCGCTTTGAAGTTTTTGGGCCCTGATGATACTATTTTCGATTCGGCATTTTGCGTATATGAAGTTAAGATAAAATTGGGAGTTAGGTGCCTCGTACAAAAAGTGAAAGCCGTTTACAACTCCCTTTAACACCGAATTAGAGCGCAGCTCTTGAGGAGGAGGAGGGAAAGGTACTGGGGTGGTGAAGTGACCTGGGGAGGTCACGTGACTTTAGGGGGTCACGTGACGATGCCGATGATGTCATCAGTGACGTCACTGATGACGACGTCAGTGACGATGACGATGCGGACTCCGATGATGTCATCCGTGATGATGACGATGACGATGCGGATGCCGGTGACGCCATCAGTGACGATGACGACGACGATGCGTATGCCACTGAGGTCATCAGTGACGTCACTGATGACGTCATCAGTGATAAAGACGATGTGGATGCCGGTGTCGTCCTCAGTGACGATGACGTCATCGGGGAGGTCACGTGACCTTGGCGGGGGTCACGTGACCCTGGGGTGGTCACGTGACCTCGGGGGTGTCACGTGACTTGGGGGGTCACGTGACCCTGAGGGGGGTCACGTGACCCTGAGGGGGGTCACGTGACCTCGGGGTGGTCACGTGACTTTGGGTGTCCCGTGACCTTGTGGGCCACGTGACCCTAGGGGAGGGGTCACGTGACCTCTAGGGGTCACGTGACCTTGGGGTGACCTTGGGGGTCATGTCACCTTGTGGTGATCTTTTAGGTCACGTGACCTCGGGATGACCTTGGGGGTCACGAGACTTTGGGGTGACCTTGGTTACGCCGACGCCGACGGCGACGGCGACGCCGCTCAAGCCAGGAACGGGCCCCTAAGAGCTGCGCTCTAAAATATTTAACCTATTCATTCATACAGCCTTAAAAACGAGTTTTCTCGTTGTACTTCCTATAATCTTCTACGATTACCTCACGTTCAGTGCTAGTTTACTGCACAAGCTACGCTGATGGCATCACCGAGCACTACAAGGCTTTCCAACTCCATGATTGAAGCAGCACCCTTTTAGAGCTAAGCTCTTAGGCGCCCATTCCCGGCTTGAGCGGCGTCGCCGTCGCCGTCGGCGTGACCGCGAGTAACGCTCGTAACCCTCGTGAGGGTTACGAGGGTTATTGTCATGAGGGTTACCCTCACGAGGGTTACGAGGGTTAGTTACCCTCAAAAGGGTTACCCTCACGAGGGTTCCGAGGGTTAGTTACCCTCAAAAGGGTTACCCTCACGAGGGTCACGAGGGTTATGAGAGTTACCCTCACGAGGGTTATAAGAGTTACCCTCACGAGGGTCACGATAGTTACCCTCACAAGGGTTACTAGGGTTACCCTCACGAGGGTCACGATGGTTACTCAGGTCACGTGACCCCCGGGGTCACGTGACCTGGGAATACCCCCCGAGGTCAAGTGACCCACCCGTTGACGTCATCGCCCCTGATGACCTCGCCAGTGACGTCCCTAATGACGTCACCGGCATCCGCATCGTCATCATCACTGATGACATCATGGGTGACGTCACTGATGACGTCACCGGCATCCGCATCGTCATCATCACTGATGACGTCATCGGTGACGTCACTGATGACGTCACCGGCATCCGCATCGTCATCATCACTGATGGCGTCATCGGTGACGTCACTGATGACGTCACCGGCATCCGCATCGTCATCATCACTGATGACGTCATCAGTGACGTCACTGATGACGTCTCGGCATCCACATCGTCATCATCACTGATGACATCATGGGTGACGTCACTGATGACGTCACCGGCATCCGCATCGTCATCATCACTGATGACGTCATCAGTGACGTCACTGATGACGTCTCGGCATCGTCACGTGACACCCCAAGGTCTTGTGACTCCCACAAGGTCACGTGACCCCCAAGGTCACGTGACCCCCCCGCCACCCGAGGTCACTTGGCCCACCCCCCTAGTACCCTTCACTCCTCCTCCTCAAGAGCTGCGCTCTTATTCGGCGTTACAGGGAGTTGTAAACGGCTTTCATTTTTTCTGGTCAATTTCAACTTTCTTCTCCTTGTGCAAATATCGATTAAACCCAATAGCATTTTTCTGGGTTCCCTATGCGCATACTTAGTGGGGAGCAGAGTGAATATCCGCCTCCCTTAGTAGCGCTTATGGGACTGTATCGGCAGTCAGTAACAATGTGGGTCCGGAGACAGCTCAATGTATTAATCACAACACGACATAATTTTGTTAAATCTTCGGCCCCAAGAGCCATAGCGCGAAATTCCTGGTTAAGGAGCTTTAAATACCATCAAAAGCATTTCCTCGGTGACCAATGGATGCTGGCGAACAGTTTGAGAAAGGCCCCATTCTATGTTGCCTATCCCTGAAACCCATTGATTTTCAAGTTTTCGTCCTCTATAGACCCCTTTCGGAATAGTACCCTCTCTTGGCAGCTGTGGAATCCCTGCACAATGGCGGACTAAAGCATCAACGTCAGGGCACACGGGAAATATAGCACCCAGAAGAAAACGTGATAAGGGCAGTGACGTTGCACTTTCGATGCTGTTTGTTTGGCTCGTCAGCTCGTAGTGTTGGCCGCGCTCCGACGTTCGCTATCTTCTGGAATGACTTGCACGTTCCTCGATGCAGTTGTTCCGCCATTCTCCAGTGGTTCCGACATTAACCGGCACGCAACTTTCGAATTCGATCTATTGAGAAAGAAAGCTATATGACCGATACGAACGATGTCCCTCGATAATATATAAAAGAGTCATATGACTTATTTTGTCCAATCATCTCAGTGGAGAACTCGCGGGTTAATTTGATATTTGGCCATGGTTACGATACGTGTCAAGTACTACATAAATTCCATTAATTTTAGAGCGCAGCTCTTAGGCGCCCGTTTCCGGCTTGAGCGGCGACGCCGTCGCCGTCAGCGTCGCCGTCGGCGTAACCAAGTTCATCCCAAGGTCACGTGACCCCTCCAAGGTCACGTGACCCCCGAGGTTACGTGGCCCCCCGAGGTCACGTGACCCCTCCCAAGGTTACCTAAAGGTCACGTGACCCCCCAAGGTGACCCCCACGTGACACCCCAAGGTCACGTGACCCCCCAAGATCACCCCAAGGTCACGTGACCCCCCCCCCCAGGTTACGCCTCCCCGAGGTCACGTGACCCCCCCCTCTCCGAAGTCACGTGACAACCCCCTTCCCGAGGTCACGTGACCCCCCCCCCCGGAGCATATCAAAGAATAAAGGGAGGAGAAGGAGAAGGAGGAGGGGTCTACCCTCCCCTCAGTACCCTTCACTCCTCCTCCTCAAGAGCTGCGCTCCAATTGGGCGTTACAGGGAGTTGTAAACGGCTTTCACTTTTTTTTTACTTGACTCATTTTTGAATTGGCGATATTCGAAATATTGAATGTGGCACGTTGCAGCCTACAATATTTTGCGTGTTAGACGCATAGCATTTACAGGAGCAGCCTTCGGGATTTTTAGTAAGGTGCCCAAATATTGAATGACGTCCACGCAGCCTCGGAGGCCACTTCTAGGGGAATTACTTAAACGGGTTTCCCCCACTGAAGGGAAGCAGGGTGGCGGAAACGCACGTATCATGTCGACGACGACGGATGTCGCCAGTGGCTCCGATATGTTGTTGTTGGACGCCCTGCAGGTGAGCGTGGCCAGCAGGTCACGCCTGTCCAGGGGCCCCAGCCGGAGGACGCTGCCTCCGGCTTCCGAGGGCTCGTCCTCCAGGCGTCCCCCCTCGCGCCACCACGTCACCTTGGCGGCCGGACGCCCTGCGCGTGCGCAACACTCGTCATCGGGATGCCCATATCGAGGTTGGCACACAAACACCGCAGGATGAAACAGCCTTGCGCCTCGACCCCTTGCCTGGTGGAACCTTTTTATGTTCTGTGCGCGAACGAACATCCTTCTGAAGGTATCATGGTGTTTGCTGGTTGACGTTTGAATATATTATTTTATTTTTATTGATGAATTCGCATTTAAAAAAGTTACCTTCGGGAGTATTAGGCAAAAGCAAACATTTACGAAAAAGCTAGGAAACATCTATCTATTTGATCATATTATTCAAACAGACACTCAATCAGTTAACAATACAGAAACAAAAAACTGCTGCGACCACGCTGATTCCTAAAGAAATGCGTAAGCATTTCGCGCAGCGGTTGTATATAACAAGGCACGGTGACTGCATTCTCTCAGCCGTTTCGGCTGGGTGAACATTCCCGCAGCCCTTCTTCTCTCTGTCAGAAGCAGATCAGGTCACTTAGCGTGTACATAAAGGACTTGCACGCAATGCGCGAAAAACGACAGAGCCACGCAGTCATTGACAACTGCCCCTCAAGCACCGCGTGGCAGGCCGAAGAAGGGAACCACAGCCCGTATGCGTCCACAGGTCTCCAAAGCCGGCGGCAGAAGCTTCCGAGCGCGTCCAAAGCGCTCACCCTCACGCCGGCCACTTAGTTCCAGGCGCCGCCGGGGCACCGCGAAGCGGCCTGTATAGGTGGGCCAAGACGGGTTAATATTTTGTAGTTTTTTTTTTTTTTATTTATTGACGGTTAATATTTTGTAGTGAGCTATCCGCAGACTGTCGCCGCGAAGAGTCGTAAACGGAAGGGAGGGGCCGTGGGTTGATTAACACGCACCCCAGTGATACACGTGCCGTCACCCCACTGCGCGGCGCCGACAATCTTTGATTGCTAGGTGTTACGTTACGGCGTCGCTCCCTATAAACAGCCAATCCAGTGCGGCCTCCGTTGCTACGCGTCCTATCCCCTCGCCGAAATCTAGAGCCGTTTATACTGAGAGAGTTTGGTATTCTTAAAGGACACATGCAAAGGAAAAAAAAACGTTTTTTTTTTTTTTTTATATCATAAAACGATTTTACAACGAAGAAAAAAAATTTTAGAGCTATATTTACGGAGCTATACGAATTTGTACTTGGCGCCTGCCGGCGCCGCGGAAAAGTGGCCCTTATTTATCACGTGACTGGTCCTTATTTATCACGTGGTGCTTGCGTTCTTTGGGAAGCTTCGTATGGCGTCCAAAAGCAACTTATTCATCTTTGTTTGAAGTATAACAAAAAACCAAGACGAATACGTAACTTTTAGAGCCCAAAAGAAACTCCTGAAAAAGCGAAAGCAGACGTGATAGACCTGTGCGCCGGTCAGACGACGGCAGCGGCGCCCCGAAGCAGACGAACTTGTGCGGCGGCGGCGACGGCGGCGTGGAGAAACGCGTTGAAGCGGCATTCGCACAACTTTGCGGTGGTGGCGACGCAGCGCGGCGGCACGCGGGCCTACCACGTTACCAGCGGCGGCTCCCGCGGCGCCAACTACAAATTCGTACAGCGCCGTAAATATAGCTCTAAAATATTTTTTTCTTCGTTGTAAAATCCTTTTATGACATCCTTTTTCCAACTAGGCTGTTTAAAAAAAATGCTTTTTTCCTTCGCATGTGTCCTTTAAGGAGATTTTGACAGCCTCGCAATAGCAGCAGCGTAGTCTGAAAATCAGGGCATAACTACTTCCGTCCGCCATTTTGTTGCTCTGACTCATAGGAACTTATGCGATTTCTCAGGAATAAACAACACAAAGTAGTAACGCCCTTTTGTGTTACCGCGAAATTCACTGGCTCTAGCAGGCAACAAGCTCCACCCATCGGCCAAACTCTTTCAGTATAAATGGTTCTGCCGAAATCCGCACCTCGACGCCATCTGTCGGCGCTGCAGAATGTGTTTCCTAGCCAGTTTCCCAAGCCAATGGAGTCGCGGTTCCATTCGGTGGTGACGTTGCAAACTTGATATGCGTGTGCTCTAAACTTCTCCAAGCTCAGCCCATGTACCTGGACACTACTGCCAACGCAGTAATGCAAAAATAACGCACACCCTTGTACAGTGCAAATCGCACTTGTCTATAGCGTGGGAGCGCTCGGCTTTCTCCGGCGAGCGCCAGACTGGTGGCATTCGCGGCAACTAATCTGGTCACGTGGGCAGCATGAAACGTTCTGCTCGGCGGTTGTCCTAAAGCGCGATCCAAACCAACGCTTTTTTGTGCCCGCGTAGGCCGTGCGGCTTCTGGCAATTGCGCATATCCTGACGCTGCTCTGATTCCGTGCGCCTTCGGGAAGCGCATACAGAAGTTGGGTATGTTCAACTTCTTTCTGTAGGCGCAAGAAAACGCGCTTTTGCAAAGTATGGCGCTCCTGTCTCCTGGCCAATCGGGGGAGGGCACCAGTTCCGGCTCCGTGTTTCTTCGCCGTCTGGCGCAGATACTCTCTGTTCGCCCGAAGCCGCACCGTCCTAACCTACTCGATCGGTTGTGACTCAGAAAACGCCCCGGAAACAGCGAAACCGTCACGAAATACGCAATATCTGGGAAGCGCACGGCCTACGCGCGCACAAAAACGTGTTGGTTTGAATTGCGCTTAACCTCTCCGTCGGGCGAACGCGGGAGGCTGTTCGCACGCTTCGCGCCTGCTTGGGTGCGCATATCGGCTGCACGCTACCGTGCGCATATCAGCAGCTCGCTTCTCTTCGCGTCATGTTGCTAAGCTCTCATACTTTATTTTAATGCAAAAGTCTTAACTGTCCCATGTAGCGAGCCGACGTCATCAGCTTTGAAGCCGCGCCAAACGGCACCTAAACTCCTTCCTCCGAGTGAAGCCGAGATCCGGTGGCTCCTACATTTGAAGCCGGTAGAAAAGCCTGGCTTAACGGCACCCAGTTTCCCGCTCCCAATGGAGCGCAGTGAAGCCGAAATCTGATGGATTTCGGTTTCCGTCCCATTGGTTGGCGCGCGTCATAGTTTCAAGAAGCGAGGCTCCTTTTCGCCGCTGCGCGACAGTTTCAACAACCACCATCCCATGGCGCTGCGTGTCTGCTCCGCCCGTGCGCGGTACCACAAAGTGTCTGGCCGCCAAGCAATGCAGCGGCTCCATGCCCATGGGTCAGCGCGGCGAGGAGAGCGCGCGCTCGGCCGTCGACGCTAGTACGACGCAGACGAAACAAGGGAGCGGAAGAACGACGTGCATGCTTTCGCATTCACAACTCATAAGAAGTACTTCAGTGTACCCCGAGCCTTTTCGTTTTCGATTGCTACGGCGGCATTTGCGAAGAGCACACGAGCAGCCTTCCACACATTCAGCGGCAGCCCACATCGAGTGGGCAGGACACCCCTAGAGCGGACCGTTCCATGTTGCCCACGTGACCAGAATAGTTGCCGCGAGTGCGATAAGTCAAGCGCTGCCCGGAGGAAGCCGCGCACTCCAGCCTTACACACTGACTGTGATTAGGACTGTAATTTGCAAAACGTATATACAAGCAAAAACAATATTCGTTCAGTCATAGAATTGAGGCAATGCTAGCTGGTAGGACATTTTATTCCAAAATCGCAAGTGCCTAAAATTAGTTATTGAATACGTTGATCGTATATCTGGAAATGTGCTGCCCACACTTAAAGTGACTAAACGTAACGTCGGTACAAGGTTCAGCTTCTATAAATTGGGTGTGTTTCTGAGTCTGCAAATCAGCCAGCAGTAAGTCCGTATGTTGTAGAATATTTTAGCAATCAGTCAGAATACGGTTGGGAGGAAGCAGGGGATGTCATTACTTGAAGTGTCTAAAAGCGAGCAATTAAAGCTGTTGGCATGTGTGATGAACGAAACAAACCTACATGAAAGCAAGTGCTAAGAATCCCGAATGTTATCCTGGCACGTAATGAGCATTTATGGGCGAAGAACCAGCGCAACAGCAGTAGGAAGCAGTCAAGCAGAATAGCTTCTTGGAATAGAGAACCACTACCATTAGGCGGAATTACAAGTACAAGAAAGAATAAAAATACAAAGGACATTTTTTTCTGCGGCTGGACACGCTCTAGTGCTAGAATAACCTTTCATATAGCCTGAACTGATATAAAAACGCGGGACAATAGAATAAACAAATTTGATTTTTTTCCAAACTACAAGTTTCTTCGCTCGCTGGGGAAAATGAGCGAACACAGATTTAGCAAAAATGTCGCAGGTGGTGATGGGCGAAGTAGAAAATCGAGCATCACCCAACGAGATTTACAGAGGCGTCTATATCAATCACCTAGGAAGACGTAATTTTTGGGTGATGATCGCCTTTTTTCTTCAAAATTCGCGCAGCACCATTATTGACAACCATAAGTTTGCTTGCACGCACACTTCTAAAGTACAGATACACTCTCAGAAAAAAAAGTGTATTTTTACACCCTTTGTCCCGTATAATACACCCCAAAACTTCACATCGACGTACAGCACCCGATAGTCGAACAGGCGGCCCCAAAGTTCACGAGGGGCTTGACAGCCGTGACGTACGACTTATTAAAATAGCTAATGCACGTGTAACTGACTACAAAAAAAATCGCGGTTTTCTTGGTTCTACTACAAAAACTCAGCGTTTTCTTTATGTGGCTATTAGCTATTTAATGATTTATATAGCACCGTTATGAAGCCCCTCGTGAAATTTGGGGCCCTCTGTTCGACAATAGGGCGCTGTACGTCGAAATGAAGTTTTGGGGTGTACTATATGGGACAAAAAGGTGTAAATTGAGACTTTTTTTTTAGAGTGCACGTAATGTGTATCACTTATATTCAATATTCTTTTAGGCGTTTTCTACGTAGTGAACTGCACTATGGATATCAAAGCAAGTACTGATTTTTTCTTCTGCTGATGTACGTCCAAATCACAATTCTGCGATTCTAATAAACCCTCTTGTCATTTTGTTTTCTAACGCTACTAGAAACTGTAGCCCTCGGTATATGTTTGTACATTTACAGCTGACTTCGATTTACATATATGCAGATTGGTCACCTATTTCTAAGCAGGATTGCCCGTCAAATGTTCACCTCTTGGTACAAGGCCGACAGCGTTCGCTGCCAACGATGCAATGCTTCGCCGGGCCCCGCG